AATCACCTCTTCCTAGCACCACGGCTAGAAGTGATACACCTTCATCTCTTACCTTCCCTGGAATAGTAGTAATGTACTGGCAATTAGGGTTCTATGGCCCAATAGGTATTACCCCCTGTTTTCTCTGCTTTACGCTTCGGTTAGTGGTCCCGCAAGACCAACACCCCGCCTTACACTCGGAGGCATACACCCCTCGGGCCACTCGTGAGCTAGCTGCCTCACATTGTATCATAGAGAGGGCCTCACCTGTCACTCCCCTTCCTATTTTCTGGTTACTGTCACCGAGAGCCCAACATCCTGCCACAATGTTCGGTGACCACAAAAAAATCCCCTCGCGCCAAGCATAGATAGAGCCTCTCAAGCCACTTGGCAACTAGCAGGGCCTCACCAGTCACCAAAAAACACCAAGCCTAATCGTTTCACCTTATGGCTTAGCTAGCAAGCCAGTACAAGACCCCTGGGTACAAATAATAATTGCAATCTTTATTGTTATTTAAGTATTTCTCAAAAAGATGGTGAAGAACTTCACTTCCTGGCACCCTGGCTAGAAGTGATACACCTTCAAGCAGAGGAGATGTGGCTCCGACCTAAGGAGGTGACAAATCCCCTACCCTGCCACAGCAAGGAAAGCAGAGTTATTCAAACTCCTCCATACATCAACGGAGGCCCAGCAACACCAACTCAGGTGACACCCAGGCCATGCTAGCCTCACTCATAAAATCATGAGCCAAGAAATTTACGACAGACTGGCAATCTCGAGTCAGTCACAGCCCTCACAAGGCTGGGCCTCACGCTACTGTACAACCAGCACCAACCGAAACTCGTTACTTGGTACAAGATGTTAACCCTGCACATATGATCCCGGCACATTGGGAACACAAGGCATATATATGTATGATGATGTATCTATGATGGTCAGACCCAGGGATTCTAGGTAAAACGGGAACTGACCATCCCTTGGTTGTGTTGGCATTTGGAATATGTAGAGATGCTTATTTGTGCAGGTACCCATACAGAAGGGATTTTCTCCCAAACAAACGAGCAAGTACTCTCAGGCTCCAGGTACCAGCACCTCTGAACTACCAGAGACAATTGGTATTAGTAGTTGCATTGCATATAGACTGTTGCATATATGTTCAAATCATTCAGGGCACATGACAAACCATGTGTCCCAATACAACTTACAAATAACGTACACACCAATGCATTTTCAACACTACTGACTCATCACCCTTCCAGACTTGTAGTAGATTTACTCAGGCTCTGGAGCTTCAAAGGGCTCCCATACAGGTATCATAAATAAACTCAAGGAATATAGTATGCCCTCACTTACAGTCAGCACAACAGAACCGTCGGCTGTAAACACACTCATAGCCAAGATTTGCAGAGGGGTTTTTACTTGGGTTTTCCAATCTCCACCATTTACAGCATGGCACCAAACACAAACGCATTGGTATTGTCACAAGGGAATCTTCCCTTAAACAAAGACTAACCATAGACTTATTGGGACCACACACCTTCACTACCCCAAGTCTCAACTCCCTCATATCCTCCGAGGAGTTTCCTTACTATACACACCATTGATCTACCTTTACAGCTATCACTCAAGCATGGGTTGAAGCTTCGTTAAGTAAGACCAATATCATCAACACAGTAAACGGCTACCATCTACCCTACAAACTGGCACTTACATGGCATAAAATGGGCAATCCTTTTCCCGCTAAAAGCAGCTGCTGTGGCATGGGGTAAATCATGGTCAGGGTCATCAATCCATTGTTACTCAGACAACTAAGCACATGTCATATCATCAACAAATGCCACTCATCATCCATACGATCATGGTATTGCTGGGGAACTCACTTGGTTGGCCACTTACCACATTTCTTTTACTTTCATGTACCAGGTGGTGGTATACATCCTTGCCGACAATTGTCTCATTTATATTCCAGGCACGTTCATCATACGCTTCCTACAGCCTTATATACAGTCACGGCCACTCTTTCGTTCCAGAGACAAAATCATGGATTAGACATACTCATGCAGCATAGCATGCACTATCCCACCTAGCACTTTCATCCTATACTTGTAGAACGCATAACACAGCTATTCACCTGGCTTTAAAGAATCTCATTGGAACACGACATAGCTCAACCTGTGTCATAATATTTCTCCTAGGTTTTGCTTCATTTTTTGCCACCTTAAACTAAAACCATCTCACACACCATTAATTATATATTTTACAGGCATTCAACAACACAGGATAACCTATGGCCAAACTACCATAACTTCATGCTATCATACCAGACAAGAATATACTCAGAGGTTTTCAGGAATCCATCCCCCCATGTTCCTCTCAGATATTACCAATAGCCATCCAACTTTTCCATCCTTATCGGACCTATTAGAGCTACAACCATTCAATTATACTACCAAGTTTGACATTACCAGCCATGCACACTGCCTTTTATGCCTTTCTCAGGCCAGAGAATCCACTACCATAACCACCACTCAGACAGATCATTGTCTTCAACGATCCCACGTATGTAAACACATATATCATTACCTATTGGCTCTACCACATTCTGAAACGAGTCAACACGCACCAACAGTAGAGATAACATACTATCCTACACACAACAAATGGTGTCCAGTTGCGGTCCTAGATTCCTACCTTCAAAAATCCTTCAAGGAATTAAATACCATAATGCATTTAAGGAAATGTCTGGTTAATTTGTATATATTGTTGACTGTATTAAATCTTTGATTATTCTTTTTGCCCTCTTTATTTACAGGCCTACCGTATCGTCGGTCTCGGCACACCACAACCTACTTGCTCCCTTTATACTATCCTACGCTTATGCTGGAACCTTATTCCATATACGGCTATTTGCCCCGAACACAAGTTTTAAGGCCATTTGGCCTGTATTTGTGGGAGGGGCTTAAATTAATTCACTCCCCTATATAAGGGACACCCCTTACTTGACTCATATCGCTTGAGGTCAGCATCAGAATGACCCTCCCACCCATTCCTCATTTCAACACTTTCTCTTTTCTTTCCATTTACTTTACTTACTTACTCCTTGGTGGGCCCTCTTTATTTACAGGCCTACCGTATCGTCGGTCTCGGCACACCACAACCGACTTGCTCCCTTTATACTATCCTACGCTTATGCTGGAACCTTATTCCATATACGGCTATTTGCCCCGAACACAAATATATATATATATATATATCTTCATTGAGTGTTGTATATCTTTGTTTATGATAGATATAAATGTTCAAAAACCAATATTAGGTGCAAGGCACTTAAATAGATATAATGTTCAAAAACCAATATTAGGTGTAAGGCACTTAAATATTAAGGTGCAATAGATATCAGCTGCACACAATTCACACAACGGGCAAAGTTCAATTAACATAAACCAAATATTATGAAAAATGTAGACATACCATGATCAGCAAGAATAATCAGGTTTACACAATTATGTAGGTTTCTCTGTTTAAGTCCATCTAATAACATCCCCATCGTCCTATCGGCAAGTAACAAAGCTGCAATGACCTAAATGAAGTAAAACATATAAAATAAAAAGAAAATATAACAAAATCAAGAATATATGTTCAGTATGATCAAGTGGTGGTTTTTATTTTCATCAGGTTTATTTACTAAACAGTAAATAATTTTTGAATTGAAAATACAGTCATATAATTTAGGTCACAATGAGTAGGAATAACTTTGCTACTATATGTTCCTCCATCTATAGAAAACAAAAAAAATCAAGTACACAGCAGCACTTTTAGCTGTACTGTACTGCATGCTGCACAAAATTCACAATGATAACAAGGAAATGTAAATTATGCATTATGTTCCTCAAAAAGATTTGACATGATAAATGCCTCTTTGAGCCATAATTGTAGTGAGCTGCAGTGGGTATTATACTTTAAAGCCTACATTGGCTTCCTGTAAGATATAGGGCTCAGTTTTAAAATTCTGGTTCTTTCTTTCAAATCTCTACATAATGCTGCTCCCACCTATCTATCCTCCCTAATACACAAGTATGTCCCGTCTAGGCCCCTACGCTCTGCTGAAGGCTTACGTCTATTAAGTCTGTCCGTACTCCCACCTCTGATGCTCTCCTTCAAGACTTCTTGAGGGCTGCACAATTCCTGTGGAACTCACTTCCCTCCTCCGTTAGATGCTCACCCAGTCTCCACTCCTTCAAAAAAATCATTAAAAACCCATTTCTTCATAAAAGCGTATCAATTAAACTGTTAATAGTTCCCGACTGATTCCTCTCTTGCAACTGTCATTAGTCTAATACTATCCTTACCTTTTTTGTCACTTCACCCCACTCCCTCTAGCATGTAAGCTCATTGAGCAGGGCCCTCAACCTCTCTGTTCATGTGTGTCCAACTTGTCTGGTTACAACTACATGTTTGTTAGTCCACCCACTGTAAAGCGCTGCGGAATTTGTTGGTGGCGCTATATAAATAATATAATAAACTATTTTTGCTACTTTTTTTTTTTTTTTACATTTTCAAAAGATTTTTATTGAAATGCAATAAGAATTACAGGTTTGTTACCACTACAGTACAATGTTTCGTGAGTTACAAAGCATCAATCACTCATATATGGAGGACATCGGGTTACACAGCATATAAAGGATATTCAGGGTGTCGTGCTTTTTTTACACATCTGTTATGTGGGGTAGTTACCCCTAGCTAAGTAACATGACTATACTCTTAGAACAATAAAAGATACAATGTAGAGCATAGAACACATATTAGAGAAGGAGGAGGAGGAGAAGAACCAATAGCTTATCCTTCCCATGGAACCAGTGATATACTTGTTCTCGAGCCTAGACACTTGTGAGGGTGCTGTCTATTACGTCCTGCCTGGTCTATCCTACGTGTGTCCCCTTGTTTGTCTAATTGTAGAAAACCCATATGAAAACCCATATGTTGATGTGATATATTTGTGTGTCAGGGAGTAATGGGTGTCTCCCATTAAGCGGAAGGACTCGACCTTTAGAATACATTCCCCGACTGTAGGGGCTCTTGGTTGTTTCCAGAGTGTAGGGATAAGTGCATCCGCTGCTCTCAATAAGTGTGTGATTAGTGATTTTTTAGACCTGGGGATTGGTTCGGGGAAGTGGAAGAAGAGTGCAGTTTCAGGCTTGAAGGGCACTTTGATGTTTGTTACCAGTTGGATCATTTTTAATATTTTGGACCAATATTCAGTGATGATTAGGCAGTGCCACCAAACATGACCTGGCGTGCCCGCAGGGAGCTTGCATCTCCAGCAGGAGTCGAGGGCGTTAGGAAAGATCTTGTGTATTTTAGAAGGTGTTAGGTAATTACTTTCTTGAGTGTGTGTACTAATACAGGTCTTGTCGATGTTAATGAATATGTTTGTCCATTCCGTTTGTGTTAGCTGGAGGTTCAGTTCAGATTCCCAGGAACTCGTGTATTTGGGTAGGGAATGTGAGTTGTCGTTTGTCATTAGTTTATACATAGTAGATAAGTGTTTAGTTTTTATGTTGCCAGACGCTCAGTGATTTTCAAATAAGGTGAGTTGTCTCTGTCCTCTAAGTAAATCTGGAGTAGAGGAGAGGAAACGCGCAATCTGTGATTGTTGGTATTTTTGGAGCGCTGTCAGGGGGATTTCAGCCTCCTCAGGGTTGGTTTGATTGGTGCCTTGGTTCTGTAGCAATGTGCATAGTGCCAGGTAGTGTGTGGCTTGGTGAGATGCGAATGAGGATTGGTGGGTTCCTGGTGGGAATTGTGGGTTGCGTGCAATTGGGTACAGGGGGATGGGTGAGGGGCTATATTCCTCAAACATCTGATTCCTTCCCATATTTTAAGTGTTGGTATAATCGTGGGGGCGTGTATTGGCTTGAGGGAAAGTTTACCATGCGTCTGCTAGGGAATTGTGCACAGCGGGTGCATAATGGCTGCTTTCTCTTGTGAAACCAGGGCCGGCCTTAGGCAATTAGGCGCCCTGTGCAAAAAGTCTTCACGGCGCCCCCCCCACCTCCCACCAAGTTGCCTGAATACAGTAACACACACAGGCACCGGGACGTGTGTATCACGAGGCAAACAAGGCATCTGCCTTGGGCGCCACTTTGCAGGGGGCGGCAAAAAAAAGCATCCCTCCAAACCCCCAGGCAGATCCCTTGCTTGCCTCGCATCCTGGGGGGCTCAAGAGCTGACCGGCTGGCCACTTTTGAGCTCCCCCAAGGCTGGCAGCGGGCAGCGAAGGAGCATACTCACCTGAGCTCTTCCTGCTCAGCTTCCTCTGCGCCGCTTAATGAAGCCGGGAGCCAGAATATGACGTCAGTCCGGCTCCCGGCATCACTAAGCGCTGCTTACTCAGCCTGTGCGCCCCCTGCCTGACTGCCCAGCAGCCACACTGGACTGCTGGTAAGAAATCCACTCCAGCTTTCCCAGGGAGGCTGGGTGGATTTAAAATAAATGTAAAAAATATTAGTTTGTGAGTGTTAGTGAAAATGTCTGTGTGTGTGTCTGTGAGTGTTTATTTTGAAGTGAATGTGTGTGTGTGTGTGTGTGTGTGTCTGTAAGTGTGTAATTGTGTGTGTCTGTAAGTGTGTAATTGTGTGTGTCTGTAAGTGAATGTGTGTGTTGGTCAGTGAGTGTATATGTGTCAGTCAGTGAGTGTGTATGTGTCAGTCAGTGAGTGTGTATGTGTCGTCAGTGAGTGTGTATGTGTCGTCAGTGAGTGTGTGTCGGTCAGTGAGTGTGTAAGTCAGTGAGTGTGTAAGTCAGTGAGTGTGTAAGTCAGTGAGTGTGTGTGTGTCGGTCAGTGAGTGTGTGTCGGTCAGTGAGTGTGTGTCAGTCAGTGTGTATGTGTCGGTCAGTGGAGTCGTGCATCTTTCAGTGAGTGCTTGCGTCTGTCAGTGAGAGTGTGCATCTGTCAGTGTGTGTCCAAGTAATAGTGTATGTGTGTATGTCATTGTTTGTCAGTGTATATGAGAGTGTGCGTCTGTCAGTGAGTGTGCGTCTGTCAGTGAGTGAGCGTCTGTCAGTCAAAGTGCGGCCTTGACAGGAAGGGGTGGGGGAAATTTAAACTCGGTTACAGGCATGTACACACACTCAGTTAAAGGCAGTCACACATACAGGCACAGGCACAGGCACAAACAATGGCACAGCTACAGCGACACACACAGACAGACAGTCACATAGGCAGTCACACACACAGACAGACACACAGTAACACACACATAGACAGTTATACACACACAGGCAGGCAGTCACACAGATAGAAAGTCACACACACAGGCAGGCAGTCACACACAGACAGATAGTTACAGACAGACACACACAGGCAGGCAGTCACATACAGGCAGTCACACACACAGGCAGTCACACACACAGACAGACAGTCACACACACAGACAGTCACACACAGAGACAGTCACACACAGAGACAGTCACACACAGAGACAGTCACACACACACACACAGAGACAGACAGTCACACACACACACACACAAGGACAGGCAGTCACACAGACAGTCACACACACACACACACACAGTCACACGCACACAGGCAGGCAGTCACACAGACAGACAGTCAGACACACACACAGACAGACAGTCACACAAACAGGCAAACAGTCACACACACACACTTACCTCTTTCCAGTGGATGCAGTTGGCTGATGGGGAAGCATCTTTCCCTCTT